AACATCTGTCTGTAAAAAGACTAGTTTTATTTTGAAGGGAAACATCTGTCTGTAAAAAGTCTAGTTTTATTTTGAAGGGAAACATCTGTCTGTAAAAAGTCTAGTTTTATTGTGAAACAAAACATCTGTCTGTAAAAAGTCTAGTTTTATTTTGAAGGGAAACATCTGTCTGTAAAAAGTCTAGTTTTATTGTGAAACAAAACATCTGTCTGTAAAAAGTCTAGTTTTATTGTGAAACAAAACATCTGTCTGTAAAAAGTCTAGTTTTATTTTGAAGGGAAACATGGACCTGTCTTCCTGCTCTCAGACTTGGTGGATCAGGTCCCCTGATGGTTTTTATCAGGAGAGATGATGAAACCTGAGCAGCTGCAGCTGCTCTTTGTTTACCTGTTAGCAGCCGAAGCTCTGACCTGAGGCAGAACCAACAGAACCAACAGAACCAACAGAACCAACAGAACCGACAGAACCAACAGAACCAACAGAACCAACAGAACCTCCAACAATCAAAAACGAATCCCATTAAACCGGGTCAGAACTTGTTGTCTAGAACCAGAACAAACTGAGCAGGGTCAAATGAGGTCTGAGCGTCAGAACCGGACCTTGGGTCTGTTCAGTTTCCAGGCGGTGCTGCAGGATCAGATTATTGATCTGTGAACGGGTCAGGATAAAGTTCTGAACGTGGACCCGGCTCATCTGGGTCACATCGACCCGTCTGGACCCAGAGAGGAGGGATGACAGAACCTGAACCCGGGAGGTTCTGCTGGCAGTAGGTCAGACCTGTTCAGGGTGAACCGGACTGGGTCAGCTGCTCGTCGACCCGTCACAAGGTTCTGCTGGATCAGAACCACCCGGAGGATCTGGATCAGAACCACCTGGAGGATCACATACATTAAACCATCACAGGTCTAGTCACGGTTTGCAGCAGGAGAAGGAAGGTCCGGTCCGGTCCGGTCCGGTCCAATAAGTAACCCAGTGGACCAGGTTTGGGACCATGAGGATCATGAGGATTGTGTTTGTGGGATTTAGTTACTAAGCAAATGTTCTGGTTCTGATCCGACAGCTCAGAACCGTTCAGCAGGTTCTGGGGTCCAGTTCAACCCGAGACAGAGGGAGCGGTCTAATTCCTGCAGCTTCCCACAACGTCTGAGACAAAACAAATGATTTTAGATTAAATTATCAACAGTTCAGTGGATCCAGACCAGACGGTTCCTGCAGGACCACAGACCGGGTCAAACAAGACCGGGTCAAACGGGACCACAGACCGGGTCAAACGGGACCACAGACCGGGTCAAACGGGACCACAGACCGGGTCAAACGGGACCACAGACCGG